GCAGCATGGTAGGCGCTGCCAAGGTAGAGGAAGGGAAGGATTTCCACAGGGCCACCCTGTTACAGAGAAAAACAACAGATACGGGGGTGACCAGGGGACAGCAGTGGGCAGGACACACATCCAGATGGCTTGGTGGACCTGAGCAGTGCAGGAACATGGCACCTGATCCAGGACCCTCAAAAGAGGGAGCAAAGGCTGCCTTTCTGAGCTGTTGAACCCATTTCAGCCTCCCCCTCTTCATCCCCTTCAGGAATGGGCAGGTGTGGTTAACAGGATTTGGGCCTGTCCACTCCCCAGGGAGCACAAACACCGTGGGATCAGGAGGACCACCATGCTCTCCCATGAGAGGAAAGGGAGCAGGTCTGCAGGCCTCAGCTGAGGGAGAGCAGAGAGAGTCCAGCAGGACCAGGCTGCAATGCTCGAAGGAGCAGACAAAATAGCTGAGCACTGGGCTTTTAGACATACCTGGTCATGAAGGGGGGTCCCACAGGAACTGCAGCCCAAATCCAGGGGCTCGGCGCTGGTGGGGGGTGACACATTGCTCAGGGACTTGGTTTTTGCACAGAATTCAGGGTACTCCGAGGAGAAGCGCTCATAACCCCCTGCAAGAAGAGAGGCACGAAGCGTTATCCCAGGGTACATTCACAGCACTGCAGAACAGGATAGCCGGAGCTGTCACGTCTCACCATGCCCTTCGCCACTAGATGATGCTACAGTGATGGAGAGTGGTCTCCTGCCCCAGCACGAGCAACCAGGCTCCTGGCAGCAACGGGGGAATCCTTGAGGCCCCACCGCTCCCTTAGAGCAAGACCCCCGTAATGCTCTTGGCCACCTGAAGTCTCTGGTCCAGGATTTAGCCCCCTATACACCATCAGCCAAAACCCCAGACTGAGGCCAATGTTGTTCTCTAAGATGATAGAGAGGGGATTTGTTACCAGCATCCTCTGACTTTAATGGGAAAAGCTGCTCCCAGGCCAAAGACTGTTCAGTTCCCAGCTTTCCCAGACACATCATCCTGCCACAAAGCACAGGGAGATCTCCCACTTTCCCAGCCTGACCCTCCAGCCCAGAGCTCCCAAAACAACAGGCCTGAGCCAGGTACCGGCCACAGTGAAGCTAACTCCACAGCAAAGCCGCCCTCCAAAGAGAGATGTCCACTGCCTCTCAAGGACACGAGTACAACCTGAACATGGAGGTTAGTGCCTTGTGAAAGGGCAGCTTGCTCCTTTGACCTGTTGCCGGGGGGGATAAGCAAAGGTGACCTCAGATCTTCCAAATTGCAGGCAAAACAAGAGCAAACCCCATTGACTTCCCAGGACAGGGAAACTGCGGTGTTGGCTGCAAATAAACATTTTTGGTGAGATTTCCTTCTCTCATTCAAATCGATAACCCTGACATCCTTGTAGAGCCTGACCTTGAGCCTTAAAACCAATGGAAATCAGGTATTTTACTATCACCACAGGAATCTAGCTAGACCAAGCCCTGACTCCCAGGATAGCTCCTGAAGACTCACCCCAGCTGCAGGACCTATGCCTGCAGATTTGGGCTTGCCAGAGCACACGCAGCAGGACACATAATCCTTATCCAGCCTTAGCTCTGGGACTGCCCTGAACAAGGCTGGATGCTCAAAAGACCAGTGGATGCAAGCGCCTCCAGCAAAGCAGCCCAGAAATCCCTGGGCAGCTAGAGACCAATATTGCCAGCATCCCAGTGTCCTTTATGGTTTCCTCCCCCTACACAAGGAAGGGCTCTAGTACCTTAAAGCAGAAAGATGCATATGCATCAGTGAATTTGCATTGTCCCTCCCACGTGAGCAGGACAGTTTGCAGAGGCTGCTTTTCCAGGGCCTGACATCCCTTTGCAGTCCTACTGGTTCAGTTTGGAGGAGCACCCAAAATCAAGCGCCCCTGTCAGACATCTTCAGGATGGTCTGATCCTAAAATCCCAGGATCTACCACATCCCACTCCGGTGGCCATCACACCATCTAGAGAGGGAGAAGCTGCTCAGGGTGACGTGCGGAAATGGGCTTCCTCCTGGGAAAGGCAAAGCGACCCTTTGAAACAGTGAAAGGTGTTTCTCTTCAATGTATCTCATCGGATCTAACACCCGTTCAACCGAGCACCACATCCAGCAGCTCCATCCAGGGGTGTGCAGATGCCGGCTGTGCACGCAGGCCCTGCCCGGCACAACGACCACGCTGTGTGGGTGCCCATCGCCAAGCAACACCCAGCCAGGCTGTTCCACAGGGAACCTGGCAGCAGTCTGATCTGCACAAAACAGATCCGGGTCTTCATCATGACCTGCACCCAACAAGTTTGCATTTGGACAGGCACAGTGGTGGGTTAGCGTGGCCCTTGTGAAATCAGAGTGAGCTCAATGATTTCAGTAGCTCTGTGATAAGCGAGGAAGAGGCCTCTAGTGCCAATACTGAGTCTCTAGGAGCCCCTTCCTTAAAAAGAAAAGATTGGAAACCCCAAACAACCTCCCATGAGAGCCCCAGGGGCACCAGAAGCCCTCAGATTCTGGCCACCCTTCAAGCACAGCAGCGTTTCCTGCCACACGCGCGGCTCCCAGCACCACGACGGCTCATGGCAAAGGACCCAAAAGCATGTTCCCGAGCGAGCCCTTGCTGTGCAGGCACTCCCGCAGCAGCACATCGTATCGCATCCTTGGAACAGCTCCTGCTGTTTTTATTGTATCTAGTACAACAGAAGCGCTAGCTCCTCCATCTATCAAGCCTCTTAATGGATTTGCTACTCTGCATACGCATCCTCACCCCTGCTGTAAGTAAACCAAGGAATAAATTAACTCTCAGGCTGTAAACAAAAAAGAAAAAACCCCACAGAGCTCATCCAGGAACCCCAGCTGAGCATCCCCCTTCCTAAATCATCTCGCGGCAATTCTCAGGACCAGCAGCTCCAACTGCTCACAGCGTCTCATTTAACACGCGCCGATGCTGAGAGCA